AGAGTATGGACAGGCCTGAGGACTTTTCACCTGCTCTCATTTGCCTGACAACATTAAAATGGTCGTTTAGAACTGAGGTTAGGTTATTCTTATTGTTTTCCTTTGAGTTTGTGGTGATCAGTTATTGAGTTAATATTGCACAGTTAGCTGTATACACTTTGTTGGAGACATATCTTAATACTTTAGCTCTTTTAAGAACTGAGCCAGCAACAGATGTTTGTTGAAATGTGCATATATGCAAATCTGACCTCATTTTTTTCTGGATTTATTTATTTTTTTAGGTCAACGATGCCTTCCTTCATGTCACACAGCGCAAATCCACAGGCAAGGTACTTCTGTCCCTTAAATAAGTCCTTGCTTCAGCGGCAAACTCAGCATGTCTAAATCCAAACTCATAATGTTTCCAAAAACCCTGATTTCCCTTCTGTGTTTTTAAAGGTTTTACCACCTTCCTCATTAACACAGTTTCAAAATCTTTTAGAGTCACCTTTGAGTCTGTTTTCTTATTCCTAGTTAGTGTGATCATATACTTTATTGTCCAAATTTGGACCCATTTGAGAGTGAAAGGATGCTAGGAAGACAGATGTCCCAGACAAACTAGGATGTCTGGTCTCCCTATTCATAATGTATCAACAGCCAGGTTCTGCCATCCTCACCTCTAAGAGGTCTCTCACTTCCATATCCTCTTTTCCATTCTGACTAATTATGTCACATCTGCTAATTCCAGTCACCTTCTAACTGACTCTCCTACCTTCAAACTACCCTCGCCCCTCCATCTTTGTTCTACATTATTGCCATGGCGACCTTCCCAAAGCACAGCTATGACTGTGTATGTCTCAGAACTCAGCAGTGGCTCACCATCGTCTGCAGGGTGGAGCTCAGACTCCTCCAGCTAGATTTCATTATGACCAGGATTTCGTCCCTCTGTGTTTCCAGCTGTATGTTGGACAGCTCCACCAGCCCCTCCGTGTACACTTGGATTGCCCACCTTCCCTACTTTGCTCTGCTAAGCAGTTTCTTTTACCCCTTATCTCTGTTTAACACAAGCCTTCCTGACCTCCAACACCTACCTCTGCATGATCTTCTCCCCTCAGGTGGGTGCTCATCTCTTTTGTTTCCCTTCTACCTTCCTGAAGCTTCTCCCCCAGGATGTGTCACATTCTGCCTTGCACCAGCGGGAGCAGCATGCCTAGTGGAATGAACATAGGATTCTGAATCCAAGATGTGGATTTGAGTCCCAGTCTCAGCACTTGAGAGGTGGTTACTTAAGGTCTCCAGGCCTTTATTTCCTTGCACAGTGAGTTACCCTTGAACTGAATTGAATATGAGTGATCTGCAGGTCTTAATTTGTGAGATTAAGTTGAGAATTAGTTACTCTGGAAACAGCCCACATGTTCATCACAGATGAGTAGATAAACAAAATGTGGTATATGCATACAATGGAATATTACTCAGCCTTACAGAGGGAGGAAATGCTGACACATTCTACAACATGGATGAACCTTGAGGACACTATGCTAAGTGAAATAAGCCAGTCACAAAAGGTCAAATATTGTATAATCCCACTTATGTGAAGTACCTGGAATAAAATTCATAGAGACAGAAAGTAAAATTGTGGTTGCCGTGACCTGGGAGGAGGAGACAGAGAGGGGAGCTGTTGTTTGATGGCTCTACTGTTTCAGTTTGGGAAGATGAAAAAATTTTGGAAATGGACGGTGGTGATGGTTGTACGACAATGTGAATGTACTTAATGCCGCTGAACTGTGTGCTTAAAAATGGTTAGAATGGTAAATTTCATGTTATGTATCTTTTACCAAAATAAAAACTAAAAGAATATATTACCCCTACATCGAAGTGAATGCATTCAGAGAAGAGAACAGGGAGTGTGAGGAGAGAGCCCAGCTGAGGCTGAAGTGGGCTCCAGTCGCTGCCCCGGCCCTGGCCTGTGGGAAGAGGCCCTTTGCCTTTGCTTGGTTATAAGCATTGCTCTTTAGCCCTCCCACTGCATCAGTGGTCATTCCCCGAGAGGAGGGGATTGTGGGGGATAAAAGCAGACACCTGATTCTTATTCTTCACAAGGTCCTGTTCCAGGAAACATGGTAAGAGGCTCTGTTTCCTGATAGGTACCCAGGCCGTTCGAAAACACCCATCTTCTCAGGGACTCCTCACCAAAAAGCTTTTGGAAGAATTGAGTTGTAAAAAATAGAAAGGGAGCATTTAGGGAAAGAATTTAAAACTGAGAAATTAGCAGAAGGAAGAGGGAGGGAGAAGAGATCAGGGAAACCGCCCACGGGTCTCTTGTGGGCCCACCTGGTGCTTCCACGAGGGCACGGGCGGCCGTCTCCCCTGGGCCCGGCTGCACATTTTCACCTTCTGGGGGCTGCACGCCCTGTGGTTGCATTTAATAAGCCTCTCTTCACCTGCCTTCACCCAAACTTACTTCTTAATGTGAGCTATTTTTGAATTTAGTTAGTTTTCAAAAATACCAAGACACCAACTTCGAGGCTCATTTTAGAATCTCTGGACACCCTCTGGGATAATTGAAGACATGCTGGCTAGACCCCAGGGGAGAAGGAAGACAAATCAGGATTGAGAAAAGTGCACATGCCCCACTGGGAGCTACCTTTTCCCACCTTCAGAGCTGATGGGTGGATGTCACTAGTAATAAAGGTCGATTGTCCCCGGCTCGCTCACGTCAAAGTGATTTAGATTGAAATGGGCAGTCATTAAGGAGCGTGAGTTTCTTCGGGTTTAACGAGTATTGGTTAGAACCTCTAATGACCTGCTCTCTGCTTGCCTGTGTTCCTGCTTCATTGGCATGATTTGATTTGAAAGCATTTGACTCACATTTTAGTCATCGTTTGGTTGTTCTGAGCCATTAGTTAGTCTGAAAAAAGAATCAGTGCAGCTCCAAGTGACAGCATTTATTCTATATTCACAGACTTTTCCCGGCTCTCCCTTGTAGGCTGGCTGCCAGAGAACTCACCCCCACACAGCTACCTCTTCTTCCTCACTAACTGTGGGTCTGTCCACCTGCACACACGTCTCTCAACAACCAGAGTGAGGTTTTGTGCTGTTAGCTGTAGAGTAATCCTGTCTGTTTGTCCCTGCTCCTTCCTCTGCAATCTGTGTGGCTTTAGAAAGCTGTCTTTTTCCTTGGAACTTTGGTAAAGACGACAAAGGATCTCTTTTTGGCAAGTGAAGGAAAATAAAGGTATCTTCACGTAATCACTTTTTTGTAACAACAACCAAAAGAAAACTGAACGAAGAAAAATTCACGGTATTATTTCTTTCTCTTATTTTTCCTTCCAGGATTTTATGAGTGAATTAAAAAGCAGTGATTTTTCAAAACTTTTGTTGTTTATACAGGTCAGGTGAGGGAAGACCTAATTAAGCCAACACATGCCGGCCTCTCCAGTGGTTCTCTTCCTTGTTCCCTCTCCATCACAGCTAATTGATAGACCTAAGATCTGAGCTGAAATATGCTGGTTTCTGCAACTTTATCATTGTTGAGGAATCATACACAGAGTGGTTATTATTATTTTTCTTTTTGCTGAACATAGAAATGGTCAGTTTCCTGGTCTTCAGTGAATTGCATCATTATTTTAAAAATGGTATTGTTAAAGTAATTTTGACCATACCACAGGGTCATTGAAAAAAGTTAAACCAGTGGAAAGTTGATGAGTAGAAATTGCTACACTGTTTTTCTCTGCTCGGTCTCATTCTTATTCTTCAGGTAAACCACTATCAGTAGCTTGGTGTTAGTCTTGCAATTTAAAAATATTTTATTTTAATTTTTAATTGAAGTTTAGTTGACTTACAATGTTATATTAGTTTCAGGTATATTGCAGACCATTTAAAACACATACGTGCCTATGCATTCACACAGAGATGGCTGTATTTTTTTTAATAGGTTTAAAAAATAACTGATCACAGTTTGCATACTGTTCTGTAAGGTACTATTTTTAATCAGTTATACATCATGGACCTCATTCCATATTAGAACATGTAGACTTACTCTTTTTACCAACTGCTTAGTGTTCCATAATGAGGATGTTTATCACATACAGCCGTTTCCTTACTAGTGAGCTTATTCCTTTATTTAAAAACGTTTATTGACGTGCCTCCATGTGCCAGGCCCTGCACGGCACGGGGAGTACAGTGGTGAGCCAGAAGCCCACAAATCTGGTGGGGGAAACAGATGAACTAACTCAGGGAGGGCAAGGAAGTTTTCCCTAAGGAAAGACCCTTGCGCCTCTATCTGAAGCTTGATGCTTCTAAGAATTGAATTTTAGGAATTTAAATAGGCAAGGAAGACAAGGAAGAATGTTCTAGGACCTGTGGCAAACGAAAGAGAGGCAAGTAAAAGGGGCTGAACGAAGTGGGGCTGGAGGTTGAGAAGTGAAGGCGAGAGTTGTGGGATGAGGCTGGAGGTGGGACGAGGGCAGGCAGGGCTGGTGGGCCAGTTCCCAGTGTGTAGCCTTTACCTGACAAGCCCTGGGATGCCACCGCAGTGCTGTAAGCAGGAGTAGGGTGGGTGTGGCGTGACCAGAATGGCATTTTGGTGGACGAATCCCTCCAGCTATAGTGGGGAGGAAGGGCTGGAGAGGAATAGAAGTCCATAAAATTCCAAATGAGCGATGATGGAATCGTGGACTAAGGCGGAGATGTTGGGCAAGGAGCGAAATGGACAGAACGGAGAGCTCTGTGGGAGGTAAAAGCCGAAGGACTCAGTGTTAGACCGGACATGGGGGCGGGGTTAAGGGGGAAATGTCAAGAGGACTCCTGGGCTCCTGGATGGTCTTTGAGGGGAGGAACATCAAAAGACAACTGGGTTTTGGCAGTGAAGGGAAGTATGACTGGGGCAGAAGATGCAGACCCCCACACTGAGATGTCCAGGAGATGTCAAGTCTGCAGTTTCGTGCCTCTCTGGTGCTCAGAGGGGAGGTGTGTCCTACAGATGTAGACTGGGGAGTCATTTGCACAGAGGTGCTGATGATGCGTGTGGTGTGGCTGAGACTCCCCCCTGGACGACATGTAGAGGGAGAAGGGAAGAGGGTCTAGACTAACCTTAAACAGCGTTCCTTTCAGTAGAGGTATCGACTATTTCATGACTGTGCTGTGGCCGCAGAAATAGACTTAGAAAGAGGTAGTTTGGGGCTTTAACTTAAACCGCAAGTCTTCATAAGGAAGGCTGTATTGCGCAGTGATTAAGCCCCCTTCTCCCAGTGGGCGCCCAGTGACTGGGGCTCTCACTCCAGCTGTTTGACCTGGGACAAGACTCATCTTTCTACTTTTCTCATGTGAAAAATGAGGATAACCATATGTTTTTTTTCTACCAGGCGTGGTTCATGTGGGGGTCAAGGGAGATAATGTATGTGAAATTGTTTTGCAAATTGCCATTTTCATAACAGATTACAAGGTTGCCTAGTAGCAGTATGTTCAGGTTCGTCTCAGAGTTGAAGCAAAAGGTATATTTTTTTCAGCATATGCCGGGCTGACATGGAGCAAAAGAATTCCTTGCTTTTTAAAAATGTCTCTCAAATATTTCTACATTTGATTTTACCCGAAGTTATTGTGCTCTTTCACACAGAATAATGGACAGAGGGATGGGGGCCCGATGATCTGATACACCGCAGAGACACCCAGAGCCAGACAAGGTCTAGAGAAGGACACGTAAATTGATCGAGAAGGTCAGGAGAGTCCTTTGTGAGGGACGATAAAAGAATTAGGGCTCCTCATTGTGGAAAGACCCAGGCTGAGAGGGGAATGTGATCGAAATTTATAAAATAATGAACATCACAAGATAAAAATATGAGCTTATTAAATCCCACAGCACAAGAACTAGGGACAACTTTATCCTTTAAAAGAAATAGTTTTAGGGCAAAGTAAAAATAGCACGTCTTTCTACAGGAATGGTG